ATACTATCAAGCTTGACCGACAGCGCTCACACCAAATCTACTAGTAATGACGAAGGGCCGGACACGGTGGGCGAATCAAAATTTATAGATCGAGATGCAATTCGTGATGATATAGAAGGCAACATAAGTGCGGTGAGGATTCTAAGTTCCCGCTTTAACCATGAATGTGAGCGCTGCACTCCACATGGTAGTGATGTTTGTAAATTTCTCTCATCAACTTGCTCAAGCGCACAGGACCAAATGCAGAAGAAACTCGTCTTTCTTGGTCTTTACTCACTTTCCGATAATGAGAGCGATCCTGAGTCGTGTGTCTCAAAGGAGTGGGGAGAGGTTGTGGATGTGGAACAAACGAGAGAACTCCCAACAATGCAGCAAAGTATAAAGGAGGACATTCAGTTGAGTGGCCCAGGGTTCCCTTCGTCCACCAACTTCCAAGCATTTAATCCAACGGCTAACTTTCAGAGACCGCTGCAGGCCTCGTCGATGATCACGGCTTCAACAAACTTTCTCAACAGAATTCCTTCTTTAAGCAGGCTTCATCCTCTTAAATTGTGAGTTTAGATTTTAAAGCAAGCATCCTGTCATGATTCCGATGCGTTAAGTTATAGACTTTGTACCATTAGCTGAACAAGATGAGTAATAAGGAAAGGACGAAACCTTTGCGAGCATTCGTTTAACGTCTAGAATCCATCGTTAGGCTTCATTCTTTTGAATACGCCTACTTAAGCGGGTTAGTAGGATCATAAAAGCAGGAGTTCCGTTACCTAGCCTCTCATTGTAAACTTTGTATGTGCACTAACGCCTGGTGAAAAAAACCCGTTTTTTCTAGACGTCCAACGCCAAATGCCAAGAGTAGATCACTTGGCTCCAAAGAGATCGTGCACGACTCAGGCAACAGTCGCAAAGCACTCTTAGCGGCTCGACCAGGTAGTCGAGCCTATGATCCTGAATCCAATTCCACTTCTGCATCAATTCGTTCACATGCACTCAAGAAGAACCCCATCACTCGCCCCCCCTCCTCACCACGCGCTGGTTTAACCAAAAGAGTGTCACTCCCCGTATCAAGAAAGGCTGTCTAATGTCCTATGACTTCTCATTCATATGCATTTTATTCAGTAAATGTTTTATCAAAGTCTTAAGTAAAATGTCTACTACATCTGACATCTAAATTAACTTAAATTGTGAATTTAGTCTTTTTTATGGGACACTTAAAACTGAATTTTACTTTAATGGCTGTTTGGACTCCTACGTCTCTCTGATGACTAGTATCACATGAGAAAGCGAAAGTAATACAGCACTTTGTCGGGTACGTGCTGACGCAATCTGGCATTAACTCCACTTACTTCAGTAACTGCTAGTAGTCCTAGCACTCCTAGAATAGTAAATATTGAGGTCTTCTATGCTACTGGTTTATTAGCAGTAGTATAAATTAACCAAATTAGGTTTCTACGCCATCTCCACGGTTCTAGCACCGACTAATATTGGCCATTTTTTGAAGGAAAAGATCAGGCTAAATGGGAATGATTAATTATTTTTATGCATATAAAAAGGAATTATTTTGAACGTACTTGGATCAGAGTGAATAGAAAACGTGGGGCATCGGATGATCGAGAGGGACAATGAAAGGGATTTGAAAGTAGGCAGATGAGTGAGTGGGCAGGTGGCACCACGATCGCATAGATGGTTGGCGTGGTCATCATGTATGTACACTGCTGGAATGGTGCGTGAGGTATTGTGAAAACAGGGAAGGGCGAGGGAACGATTATCATATCAACGCGATTGTAGCAAACAAAGCACGAGATTATTTTGGTCCCTTCGAAATCAACAAATAGAGGATGAGGTTTTTTTGTGAAAAAGTAAAATCAACGGGAAAACAGGAGTTATGGAACTTGTCATCACCTTCTCACTGGATTATCGCGTACTTCCGTAGTGGGGTTCACAGTCTAAAGCAAGGAGATCGAATGTGAGTCACTCTCCCCATGACTCCAAATCTAAAACAGGTTATGCCCTTCGAATAATCAGCTCAATGTAAAAGTTAAGTTCATTTAATGCAATGGAAAAACTATTTGGCTTTGTCGACAACGCGACTAAATACGTGTAACTAAGGTGCATTTGCTAGGTTTGTATTCAAATAAGTATTTATCCACTCATCGCTGTAGTTGCAGGTTGGGATCCAAAAAATCAAGACTTTCATTTCCAACAAAGAAAAATGAGTTTAATAAGACAGCCATCCGCTTATTTTTCTTACAAAATGCATTTCTTAAAATTACAACTTACGGTGTTTTTGTTATACTAGGACCAAAGATAAGCTGTAATGCTATTTAAGCCAATAAGAATCTCAATAATCAGGTCCATTATTTACTGAAACCTGTCCAATCTCTCTTCTGTATTAAAATCAAATATCAAGTAAGGTGACTAAACGTTTACTAAAACGTGCAGCAGTTAAATTGGATAGAGAAACATGCCAAAGAACGCATATCGAGATGTAGGGATCGTAAACTCACCATTACAGGGCATAGACGCGTTCTTCAATTCAGGGGAAGCTTGCATGAGAAGCGATTGCGACAGATGCGAGTGTAGCACGGGTGCAGGACTGCTGGTTTCTGATGCCACTGCGGATTCCACCGTCGCTGACTCAACAGCACTAGTGGGCATTTGTGGCGGTTGGAACTGCGATGGCGAGGGTTTACAATCACTCGAACTTGACTCCCAAGCTTTCCATGGCATGCTAAATCGTCTGCTGTCAAACATTTGTGGCACTTCCACATTCACTTCGCAAGAGGCAGAATAGGACGATCGCTGAGACTCTGGATTCTCCGACCACATGGCAACTCCGGTATTGACTGGAGCAGCAGTACTAACCGAGGAGAGAATACCGTAGAGCGAGTTCGGACCCTCATAGTGTGGAGATTGACACTCTGTCTTGAGGGACTGTTGTACTTCTTCCGGGAAGTGCTGATGGACGAAGGCCGCTGCGTTTTGATACTGATGTTCCATGGAGGCATTGTAAAAGTTACTGCCTCCTGGTCCTGCTGATGGGGTGGTAGTACTGCCTGGAGCATAGAACACTGCTCCAGTAACGTTTCTCTCGTCTTCAGTCGTTTTTAAGTCCGTTTCATTGGAAGTATTGGGGGGAGTTCCCATAGAAGGATTTCGAGATGATGCACTAGGAGAGATGTGCATACTAGGGAGGAGAAACTGTGAA